GAAGGGAGAAATAAAAACATCAGTGATGAGAGAGAATCATTGCTTGGCTGCCTCCTGCACGCCCCATGCTGGGGATCGAGCCCGCAACCCCAGGCATATGCCCTTGACCGGAATCGAACCGGGGATCCTTCAGTCCACAGGCCGATGCTGTCCAAACAGGCTAGGGCTAATCTCCCCTCACTTTGAATGGTGTCTCCATTCCTGGGAAATTTGGTGTGTGTTAAAACTCCAAAAAACCCCATCCACTTTGTGATGCTTTGGGTTCATCTATAAAGTGGAGGTGGACTTCATTAAACCAGCTTATCTGCCCACATAATTATAAACAGGCTTTTCAACAACATGCTTATTCTGAGTATTCTAAAGTTACATTTGGAGCCGAACCGGTTTGGCTCAGTGGATAGAGCGTCGGCCTGCGGACTGAAGGGCCCCAGGTTCGATTCCGGTCAAGGGCGTGTACCTTGGTTGCAGGCACATCCCCAGTAGCGGGTGTGCAGGAGGCAGCTGATCGATCTCTCTCATCGATGTTTCTAACTCTCTGTCCCTCTTCCTTCTTCTCTGTAAAAAATCAATAAAATATATTTTAAAACAAACAAACAAACAAACTAAAGTTACATTTGGATAGGACCAGGCCATCTCAAGTTCATGGTTCCAGTAGCTCCTACCTCCCTGCTCCCCTCTCCCTGCACTGCAATGGAAAGAACCACCACTTGGGGGCAGTGTTTCCTCAGTGGGAGGGGTCCTCCTTTCCCTGTGTTCCTTGGTTCTGTCTCTTTTTTTAATCTTTATTGTTGAGGGTATTATAGATGTCCCCCTTTTTTCCCATTGTCACCTTCCACCCAGTTCCCACCCCACCCCAGACCTTCACCGCCCTATTGTCTGTGTCCATAGGTAATGAATATATGCGTGTAAGATCTTTGGCTAATCTCCCCGCTGCCCCTCCCTGCCCCCTGCACCCCAGCTTCCCTCAGATTTGTCAGTTTGTTCCATGTTTCCATGCCTCTGATTCTATTTTATTCACCAGTTTATTTTGTTCATTAGATTTCTTGTTCATTTATTTTGACTTTTAGATTCAATTGTTGATAGATACGTATTTATTGCCATTTGATTATTCAGATTTATCTTTTTTTTCTTATTCTTCCTCTTCATAAAGAATACCCTTTAAAATTTCATGTAATACTGGTTTGGTGGGTGATGAACTCATTTAGGTTTTTCTTGTATGTGAAGCTCTATATCTGACCTTCAGTTCTAAATGACTAGAGGCTCGGTGCACGAATTCGAGCCTGGCCTGTGGGATCAGGCTGAAACCGGCTCTCCGACATCCCCCGAGGAGTCCCAGATTGTGAGAGGGCACAGGCCAGGCCGAGGGACTCCACCGGTGCACGACAGTGCCAGGGAGAGATGCGGGAGGTTGGCCAGCTGGGGAGGGACCACGAGAGGGCTCCAGGGCATGTCCGGCCCATCTCGCTCAGTCCCGGATTGGCCAGACCCCAGCAGCAAGCTAACCTACCAGTTGGAGTGTCTGCCCCCTGGTGGTCAGTGCACGTCATAGCGAGTGATTGAGCAGCCTTAGCATATCATTAGCATATTACACTTTGGTTGAACGGACTACCAGATGACTGGACACTTAGCATATTAGGCTTTTATTATATAGAATAGCTTTGCTGTATAGAGTAGCTCCTTTCTATTCATCACTTGGTTGTGTCTCCTTGCTATTCATCACTCTGAATATTTCTTGCCAATTCCTCTGGCCTGCAAAGTTTCTGTTGAGAAATCAGTTGACAATTGTATGGGTGCTCCCTTGTAGGTAGGTAACTGCTTTTCTCTTGCTGCTTTTAAGATTCTCTCTTTGTCTTTCGCATTTTAATTATGATGTGTCTTGGTGTGGGCCTCTGGGTTCCTCTTGTTTGGGACTCTGTACTTCCTGGACTTGTAAGTCTATTTCTTTCACCAGGTAGGAGAAGTTTTCTGTCATTATTTCTTCAAATAGGTTTTCAGTATCTTCCTCTCTCTCTTCTCCTTCTGGCACCCCCATAATGCAAATGTTGGTATGCTTGACATCATCCCAGAGGTTTACACAATCTTCATATTTTTGGATTTTTTTTCTTCTGTTCTTTTGCATTTTTTATGCTTTCTTGGTGCACCCCCTAGTGGTCTTTGTGCGCAGTCTTGTTCTAGTTGAGCCTTGATTGTTGTAGTTAATACTAGAGGGATTTGACCACCAGGCCGACTGGCTGTGTGAATCAGCTGTGTCTGCCGCGGAAAACTTCTGTCCTCTGGGGAGGTGCTAATCTAGCCTTTGCCTGAGGCGATCTGGCAAATGGCTCTGCGCAGGGCTTGGGCGGGGCGGGCTCAACAGGGCGGGCGGGCGGAGGGAGCGGTTATGGCCCCTCTCAGTCCCGTTCCCAGAGGCTCTGCTTCTCAGAACCCCCGGAACCGCTGCAAACCTCGGAGGGAAAGCTGCCTTCCAACTGATGCCAGACACTCCCGCTTCTCCCGTTTGGGTCCGAGTCCCCAGCGATTCGCCCGTATCTGGAGCTCAGAGTCTGAGACTCCCCCCTGACCGAAAACGACAACCGCGCTCTCAGCCACCAGCCCGCTTTGCGCGCGCACCTCCGCACCTGAGTTTTTTCCACACTGCGCCTCCTCTGAGCCTCGGTGTGCTGTTGTTTTTCCTTCTAGTTGAAGAGTCTCTCCTCAGCCAGCCTTCCCGTGGTTCTGGGTGATGTCCGTTCCGTCTTTTAGTTGTATTTTTGAAGTGGTTGTTTGCGGCAGCAGTCTCCGGTGTTTACCTATGCCGCCATCTTGGTCTCTCCCTCTTCTGTTCTTTTGATTAAGTGTTTTTTGCTTCCTCATATTCCAAATCATTGATTGGATTCTCAGAATCCTCTACTCTACTGTTGAATCCCTGTAAATTATTCTTTATTTCAGTTAGTATAGGCTTAACTTCTGACTGGTCCTTTTTCATGTCTTTGACATTCTCATTAAGATACTTAAAAGTCTCACTAAGTCCCTTGAAGTACTCTTTGAGTCCCTTGAAGGTCTCATTAATATCCTTGAGTAACCTTAAAACCATGGTTTTGAACTCTGTATCCAGTAGTTTGCTTGCTTCCATTTCTTTCATTGGTGACATATGTTTATTTGTTTCCACATTTTCGCTGCTTCCCTGTGTTTGTTTCTATGTATTAAGTAGAGCTGCTATGTCTCCTGGAATTGGTAGAGTGGCCTTGTGTAGTAGGTGTCCTGTAGGGCCCAGTGGCTCAGCCTCCCTAGTCACCTGAGCTGGGCACTCTAGGTGAGCCCTGATTGCTATTGGTGTCACTGGGAGGACTTGACCTCCAGCCCAATTGGCCATGAAGACCAGCTACGACTACAGTGGAAGAGCAGCTGAGCAGGAGATTTCCCTGGGAAGCAAGACTTGCTTCAGTGGGGCTTTGGTGCTCACTGAGTCTCCCCTTGAGTGTGTCGCTTGTGAATGTGCAGAAGGTAATCTGGTATAGGCTGAAGCTGTTCACCTGGTGCACTGGCTCTGGAGCCTCCCAGGAGGTGCAAAGTCAGCCACTGCCTGGGGCCACCTGGCAGGAGCTACAGAGAGATCTGCAGATGGCTGCTACTTGTACTGGGCTTGTGAAGTGCCCAGGCGAGGCCCAGCTGTGAAGCAAGGCAGGCTGGTGCTAGTGCCAAGACTTGGGTTCCTTCTCTTTCTTACATTCTTGCCCGTTACAACTTTGCCTGCACAGGAAAATTATTTCACTTGCTGCAAGAGGCTATCAAAACACTCCCTGAGGCACACTGCATGCCAGTTTCATGGAGTGCTCTCAGCTGAGCCACATTGGAGAAGGCTCTGAGGAGTGACCCACCTGGGCAAGATGACCCACAGCTCTGAACCCACAGCCCGAGTGCATGGGGCCCCGTGGTGTGTTGAGGCAGGGCTGGTGGACAGAATTTTTGTTGTGAGTGTGAAAGGATAGGCTCCCAGGAACGGGTGCCTGAAGTTCCAGATGGGCTTTTTTGGAGGTGGGAAGAGGGAGATGCATGATTTTTGGAGCAGCAGGATGGGGCAGGGTGTGGATAGAGCTGCCTGGGCTGGAGGAGCTCAGCTAGGCTTTGAACCTTCCCAGGTGACAAACAGGCCATTTCGGAGTGTGGATTTGAGGCTTGAGGGTAAGGGGTACAGTTCTGGCCTGTGGAAACCACAGCCTTCGAAAGAGAAAAGCAGTTATGGGGAGAGGGTGTAAAGGAAAGGAAAGCTGTGAGGAAAGAGTAGAGGAACATAGGCTTAAACAGTGAGGGCAGGTGACCTGCCCTGGGAGACCTGACAGGTTCCTCTGTTGGGAAGCCTCTCCTTGCCATTCAGCATTAATGCCATTTCTTCAGATAGGCCGACACTGACCTCCACTGTCAGCATGTGCCCTGGGATTGTCTCCTAGCCCTCTTTCCTGCTACCGCTTGTAGTTGCAATTTCTCACACCTGCAAGTGCCCCACTCCCACTGCTCCCCAAAGCGATGGCACAGCTGTGAGGTCCCCGTGAGTGCCCCCCACACAGCACACACCCTGCGTCCTAGCGCCACTCCCTAATTATTTGTTAAATTAACAGCCATTCTAATCAACACCCATCCAGTCCTGTTGTCAAGCAAGAGCTTTTTCAGAGATTCCAAACCCAGTTTGTGGCAGTGGCCAGCCCAAGGACCCAGCTCTCCCTGCGAGGAGGCCTCTTTGGAGGAGGGGAAGCTTGGATTTGGGGAGGGAGAAGGAATGATGTCAGGGAACATGATCTCAGACTAGAGGAACATGTTTGCATACCTAAAATACACTTAGAGGAAGGAGGGGAGCAGTGGGTTTGTGGGGGCAGGGGATGGGAGGGAGGGGTTGAGAGGTGGCTGATAGCCCTTCCCAGTTAACAGCAGCCCTGTCTTCTGCCCTCCATGACAGGACGCTGATTGCTCACACCAAAGCCTTGGACCCCTCCCGGCCCGTGACCTTTGTGACCAACTCCAAATATGATACAGACCTCGGGGTGAGCCTGGGGGTTCCCCACACCTCTCGTTTCCTCTGTCCTGTCCTCTAGTCCTTCCTCCTGATGTGGGCCCAGGTCATTAGGGGAACACCTTGTACAGCACAATCCTTGAGGTTGGAGGGGGGCTTCTGGGCCACGTGAGCAGAAGAACCATGAACCGCCAGTCCAGCATTTTCATAGACAGGCTGTAGGTCAAAGATAACTACCTGCTATTCACTGGGCAGTGTGGCTTCCTATGTCCAAGGAGGCTGGGCACAGGGAGATTTAATTTGTTCTCAGTCCAGATTCTAGGTGCCTCAGTTTAATTGTATGCACCTCAGTTCACTGTGCTCATACAATGGCAAAGGTTTAAGGGAACCTAAAGTCATCATTGTCCATTGTTTCTCAAACCTGGCTGATCATCAGAACCACTAAGGTGTCTGGATGTTGAGATTGTGATTGAGTCAGTCCAGGGTGGGAATCTGAGTTGTAAAAAGCTCTGCAGTGAACTCCGGTCATCAGCCAGCTTTGCGAACCATTAGCTAGATCTAGATTGAGGATCGAAGGGCAGGCTCCCACAGCTGGCTGGCCCAATGGCCTCCCTCACTGTGCCCGGCCACAAAGAAAATACTCCCCTGGAGAGCTGAAGGCCAGTACTTAGGAGGGAAGTGCTATAGAAAGAGAAATCACCTAAAGAAAGAATGGATGGGAAAACACTCTGTAGAAATATAGATTGTGATCACCGGATGGAAAGAAGCTCAGAGCCCTGGTGCTCCCCTGCCATCTGTCGAGACAACCCCTTCAGAGAAGCATAAAGATGGTGAAGCACCAGCAGGGCCTCCTCGGGCTGCCAGACTCTCTGGTGGGATGTGTGATCCTTGTACATGTGTCCACCCAGAGGCCCCCCCAGCTTCCTCTTCCTCTGCATTTCCCACCACCAGTTTGGAAAGAGGCCGCGGTCACTTGGGAAAAACAGGCCATACCAGTCCCGGTGCTGGGTCTGGAGGTGAGCTGGGCATTAGAGACTCGACAATGGGCTGTCTAGTCTTTTTTTTTAATATATATTTTATTGATTTTTTACAGAGAGGAAGGGAGAGGGATAGAGAGTTAGAAATATCGATGAGGAGAAACATCGATCAGCTGCCTCCTGCACACTCCCTACTGGGGATTTGCCTGCAACCAAGGTGCATGCCCTTGATCAAAATTGAACCCGGGACCCTTGAGTCCACAGGCCGATGCTCTATCCACTGAGCCAAACCGACCAGGGCAGGCTGTCTAGTCTTTGCTGCTGACTCCTGAACTCTGTGTTGATTAGACTCTAGGCTGTTTCGCTCCATCATCTTGGCTACCCTGCTAGGAGGGAATCTTCTAACCATTTTAAGGCCCACAGTACAAGCTCAGAAACAGTACGGGGAAAACGGCATCTCGGTTGGGAACATTTCTCCAGGGCCAGATGGGGGAGGACTAGTGACAGGAGCACTAGCTAGAGAGGAACAGAATCCAGTTGGATGGGTCCTGGGCTTCCACTGAGGGCAGCTCCCTGGGCGCCTGCTCAGCCTCAGCCCTCGCCAGAACCTTAGCCAGGTCAGGAGCGTCCGTCCAGGAGTGTAGACTTGTCCATTCGGGTCACTCCTTGACTACACATGTAAGTATCCAGCTCATTTTCCGTGTCCCCTTTTTACCTTCTCCGTCAGAATGGCCCCTGAGTAGGAGAGTCCTGACTATTCCACCATCTTCTGGTGCAGGGACTAGCTTTCATGCTCTTGTCCTAGGCACCGTACGTGGATGTCATCTGTGTGAACAGCTACTTGTCCTGGTATCATGACTGCGGGCACCTGGAGGTGATTCAGCTGCAGCTGGCCACCCAGTTTGAGAACTGGTACAGGACCTATCAGAAGCCGATTATTCAGAGCGAGTATGGGGCAGATGCCATCACAGGGCTTCACCAGGTAAGTAGTGCAGAACATTCTGTTCCTTCTTCTCTGTCTTGGGCAGTGATGTCACTCATTGCCCCAGGTTAGAAATCATCTCCTTCCCGCCCTCACCTGTCCTGACGACCTCCCTGCAGTTCTCCAGCCTCACCCAGCCTGGCCCTCCGCACGGCACGCACACTGCCCACCACGCAGGCCTCCCCTCACTTGGTCCTCAGAGGCAGCCTCTTTAAAGCTATTGGCCTCCTTCTGCCTGGAATGCCCTTGTTAGCATCACAATTGCCAACCAGTGCATTCTTACCCTATGTTCAAGTCTCAGCTGAGATGTTCCCTCTTCAGTGGCCTGTACCCCATCTGCCGGCTGGTTTCCGTCTTGCTGTCTCTCACTGTGCACTATCATTATTTCTTTGGCTCTGCCTTGACCAGACTGTGAGCTCTAGGAGGGAGACTGAACCCTATTTATTGTTGCTTTGCCAGCACTAAGCAGTGGTCAGCACACCATCGGTGCTAACCACTGTTTGTTAAGGGAATGCATGAAATCTTGGAGCAAGTTTTTATCACTAGCTCTTTTCTCATTGTTTTGTCCATTTCCTCACCAGAGATATGCTGCTTTGTCTTGTGGGGACTTTCTTCATAGGGATTCTTGAACCACAGCCAGCCCTTCGTCTCCACCCTGGCCACCTCACACTCCCATTACAGCTACTGGGAATCTATTGCCGCACAATCCTTAGTAGGCTGATTCATGGTGTGTGGAACAGCTACCCATATGAACTGTATTATTCTGTTCACACCCTTAAATTCATCTTGCTTACACAGAATGCCACTTCTGCAAACTGGCAAAGGAGGGAACTAGCTCATGTCTATGCACATTTGTCCTCCCTCTTTGAAAAGGTGCCAACTCTGAATTTTTAGGAAACTCAGAGAGCCTAGGTTAGCACTGTCTGCTAGAGCCTTGGCAGCGATGGAAGTGTTCTGTATCTGCATTGCCCACAAGGGCAGCCATGGCCACACCTGGCCTTTGAGGACCTGAAATGTGACTAATTTGCCCGAGTTGATTTGGTTTAATTTAGATTTAAATTTAAATAGCCACGTGTGAGTAGTACTAGACAATGCAAGGTCATTTCCATTAAAGCAAAGTAAGAAAATCTACATCTTGCCCTGCCCTCAAATTCAACTTTGGACCTGAAACCAAACTGTGCCTCAGTTGTACAGTTGTATTTTCAGTGCTGCTTCTACAGCATTTTAATCCTTCTCACTGGAAGAGAAAGGCAAAGCCAACAGGGCTTTGTTCTCTCACAAATGACTGGACTCCGCATCCCTCAGCATCTACCAGTGAGACTAGAGCCTCCCACCCCCGCCCCGACTGCCCACCGGCCCGGGTTCCCATGAGATGAAAACTCAGACCCAGGAACATCTGAAAGATCTCTATCTTAGGACAGGACACACAGGAGCTCTTCACCGAGGTTGGATGGGTCCGTGGACGTGGCCTTCTCCTCACCTGGCAGGTCTTGGCTTCAGTGTTCCGCAGGGAGCTCTGTGTGGCCCCTGAGTCCATTAGCTCCTTCAGCCAAACATCCCGGCTCCTTTGCTCTCCCCGCTCGCTCACCTCCTTACATTTCCCTGTGTCTTTCTTGCTGGATTGGAAAGCCTGTGAGGGCGAGGCCGGTTATCTTTCTTGCTTATCACTTTATCTCCAATGCCTGCCATATAAGCAGATACTAAATGATTATTTGTTGAATGGATGAATGTGCTAAACAGCGGCTACTTACCCAGACGAGACAAAGGTGAGTCTGAGGTGAGTAAACCTGAGTGAGTCACACTAGTTCTCAAATTATACGGTGCAGCTGCTGAAGACTTGAGCTTTAAATTAGTCAAAGACATTTTTACTTCCAGTGTAGCTCAGCTGGTGAATAGAGATGGAAAAGATAAAGCAAGTATCAAATCCTGTTGATAAATAAAGTGGTTACTGATTAAGGGTTGTTTTTGTTTTTGTTTTAAATCTCTTTTTACTCTGGGCTCATCATACCCTGGCTGTCTCTACACCGCCAGCGGCCCACCCTGAGGACAGATATTTTGGTCATCATCACATGGATCTTTATTTTTATCTGACATTTACAATTCTGCCAGTTCCGATTCTTAAGTTCTCTCTTTGCCTTGAATTCCAGGATCCACCTCTGATGTTCAGTGAAGAGTACCAGAAAAGTCTGCTCGAGCAGTATCATTTGGTTCTGGATCAAAAACGCAAAGAATATGTGGTTGGAGAGCTCATCTGGAATTTTGCTGATTTTATGACTGACCAAAGTAGGTGGCAATTGGGCTTATGGAATGTACTGGTTCTTAATTTTTTCAGGTGGGCCTTTCAGTTCAGGACATTTGGTGGTAGGAACACTGGAAACGAGAGGGGGAAAGCGGGTCTAATCCATGTAGGCCTCACAGAGCATTTCCTAGGAAAAGTAAGTTGCCTTTAGCAAGCAATAATCGCTTGCTTGCTTCCCCATTTTACAGTAAAAAAGCAAATGGGAGAGCCTACTCTCTTGAGGTAGAATGGCTAACTTGCCATGTCTATTTCAGAACAGTATGCGGAAAAGTGGGCATTGTGGAATACATTCATTATTCCGGAGTACGGTACAAAACCTGAGAAATGTAAGATATTATTCACTTGTATGAGGCAGGTTTGCCAAATACAGGGAAGGGTCCAAGCATTTTTTAAAAAAAATATTCTTATTGATTTCAGAGATGAAGGGAGAGGGAGAGAGGGATAGAAACATCAATGATGAAAGTGAATCATCGATCAGCTGCCTCCTGCACGCCCCACACTGGGATTGAGCCCACAGCTGGCATGTGCCCTGACTGGGAATTGAACTGTGACTTCCTGGTTCATTGGTCGACGCTCAACCACTGAGCCACGCCGGCCGGGCATGTCCAAGCATTTTGAGTGTGGGAGTGTTCAACCGTCTTCCAGAGAATACATCTGTACTCCTTTCACAAGTGGGACACATAGGGCTGCTCCAGACCATAAACTTAGGATGGCAGTTTGGGGGTGGAAAGGGTTTGGTAGTAGTGGGAATTACAGTGCATTACTTAAGGGGAAAGACAGGTCTTTGGAAGGTTAAAGTTTAATTAAAAGTTAGAATGGAAAGAGGCAAACAGAAGAATGAGAACATGAGCCTCTACTCTGCTTGGCTGATGAGATGAACTGCTTCTGAAATACCCTGCGTGGCAGTCTAGTTTCCTGAGCAGGTGCCCCGGCTTTGTGTAGTGAGAGTGACCTTGGACAAGTTACCTAGTTTCATAAACCTGTACAGTGGGTCAGTGCCCACCACCTTGCAGGTTGATGTAGGGATCCATTTGATGACGTGCTTGGTACAGTGCCTGCGATTTGCTTACTGTGGAAGAGATCCCTGTTGTTTGAACTTCTTGGTGGGAAAGATCTACTTTGGTTTTACGGAAACTGGTTTCACAAGGAGTGGAGAGGAGGTGTGCTGAGAGCGCAGCCCCGACTAGCTGTTGCCAGCTCCGCTCCCTTCCCAGCTTCAGCTCTGGCAGACCAGCCACCAGGAGAGGGAGCCCAGCTGGAAGGCGCCGGGAGGACATCTGCTAGGAGGTCCCACCTAGGCACCTGAGGCTGGTCAGGACTCTGGCTCCCACTAGGGAAGGGTAACTTTTCACCTCAGCTCCCTCCAGTTGGGTACCTTAATGTTTTAGACCTTAGTTTGCAAGTAAAAGATAAACAATTTTGGATAGTTTCCCCTAACAGATGAAAAATTGACACCGGTGAGCTAAGGTATTTTGGGGAGCAGTAGTAAATCTTTAACCCATTAAGTGGCCACATCAGACCAAACAACCCTGAACTATAAGGCTATTTCTTAGTGCCCAGTTGGGCTCCAGCTTGGCCCATTGGAGTCATCTGAAACATCTCTTGCTTGTTTTTAGCACGGGAGAGAGTAATAGGAAATAAAAAGGGGATCTTCACTCGCCAGAGACAACCAAAAGGTGCAGCATTCCTCTTGCGAGAGAGATACTGGAAACTTGCCAACGAGACTGGGTACCACCCGGCAGCTGAGAAGCCACCGTATCTGGTAAAGAGCCCGTTTACCTGGTAAAGCAAGAACTGTCTCTTGGCTGACGCCAGCTGTCAGCCCCTCCTTCCCAGGTGAGGGCAGTGGCTACCGCCGACAGACAGAGTGCCTCCTGGCCTATGTGTGGCAGACAGGGGAGTTTCTGGTCTGGATTTTATAGTCATTTGCTAGAAGGGAACATTAGAGGTGAAAATAAAGGATTTTGTAATACTGGAATTTAGAGTTGGCTCAGAAGTGACTATTCCATAAATTGAATGATGATCTGTACCGCTGAAAAGCATCTGAAGTTATTTTTGTGTCAAGCTGTTTACATAGCCTTAACTGGGTATAGACTTTTGAGAAACCTTTGCTTCAACACTCACACAAGTTCAGAGTTGCTGGTTACAGACTGCTTCGCAGGAGTAGCTCCCCTGCCTTAGGGCCGCCCTGCTCACCCTGTAAAACTCCACAGGTGAGCTGCAATCCTGACAGATTTACAGCAAGTGATATACTGGAATAATGAACACGATCACCCTGTAAAACTCCACAGGTGAGCTGCAATCCTGAGAGATTTATAAGTGATATACTGGAATAATGAACACGCATACTAGTTGCCACAGATAAGAGTTAAGGAATGTCAGAATTGGAAGGGAGCTCAGAGGTAACCAGCTCTTCCAGGACATTGCTCCATCCTGTCGAGGTTTTTTTAAGAACACTAGCGAGGTGGCTAACTTTGATCTCCATCTTTCTTCCCCTCAAATATAACACCCTGGTAGAAAATTATGGCTCTGGAATTTCAGGGGTGACCTCCCCCAGGACTGCTCAGATGGGGGCAAGAGGCTAACACATGAAACAGCTTTGTACCAAACCCCCAATCATTTACAGTGGAAGAAATACCTACCTAGTTATGGTGGGGTTACAATACCCAGCACAGTGCCTTCTTGGTATACTGGAATAATGAACACGCATACTAGTTGCCACAGATAAGAGTTAAGGAATGTCAGAATTGGAAGGGAGCTCAGAGGTAACCAGCTCTTCCAGGACATTGCTCCATCCTGTCGAGGTTTTTTTAAGAACACTAGCGAGGTGGCTAACTTTGATCTCCATCTTTCTTCCCCTCAAATATAACACCCTGGTAGAAAATTATGGCTCTGGAATTTCAGGGGTGACCTCCCCCAGGACTGCTCAGATGGGGGCAAGAGGCTAACACATGAAACAGCTTTGTACCAAACCCCCAATCATTTACAGTGGAAGAAATACCTACCTAGTTATGGTGGGGTTACAATACCCAGCACAGTGCCTTCTTGGTAAAAAAACGTTTAATCGTAAATGAATGCCTGGCTGCTTTGCCAGCCTGGTATTCCACCGTTTTGTACCAAAGGAATAAAATTGCAAACCTGATATTTGTTGCCTATCAGGGATTTTTCTGTCCTTAACAAAAACGAAGGCAAAATAATGAATTAGATCTTTAAATCTTTTTGTTTTCTAAAAGCCAAAACAGACCATTACCCTTTTACTTTTGTCCTTTAGCACTGCCATTCACTGCAAATTCTCCCCATGTTATTCCTATTGTTTAGAGTGTCCACTTCCTCATACACCTGGTAGAACATTATTTTCATTCAAGGATGCCTCCAAATTACAGACAGGGCATGCCATTTTTTGTTTTCCTGCAGGCAGATCATTACATTTAGGTAAATTCTTGATATACTTCAATTCTTGGACCAAAGTATTTTTATCTTCCCCAAGCTAGGTGTCCCATTCACTTTTGATGCCTTATCACCATCACTTCTAATCAGAGTTTTAAGGCTCATTTTACTTTGAGGCTTTTAGTCATCCTTTATTTTGTATTTTCTGAAATGAATATCCAAATTGGGTCAAAGGAAACGGGTACATTTTGAAAAGATGGTTCTGGTTTTCAGACTATAATTCCCACACTGCCTTTCATGTAGAAGGGAATGTATCCTCACAGAGAACATTTCAATGATCAACACAAATGATGTGCCTCTCAGGCCCATTTCTTAAGTCCTAAGGTTCTAGCACAGAACGCATTTGTTCTAGTGACCCGTGGTCAGCAAACCGAGGCTCGCGAGCCACATGCGGCTCTTTGGCCCCTTGAGTGTGGCTCTTCCACAAAATACCACGTGCGGGCGCGCACATACAGTGTGATTGAAACTTCGTGGCCCATGCGCAGAAGCCGGTATTTTGTGGAAGAGCCACACTCAAGGGGCCAAAGAGCCGCGGTTTGCCGACCACTGTTCTAGTCAATAAAATATGGCTAAACTGTATTTCAAATTGATTCATCTTTCTTGCAGATGTGACTTTTAGATAATTGTAAAAATGGAGTATTCAAGGTGAACTAAAGTAGAGCAGTGGGAAAACAGTTGGCTCATACATTCTTTGTGCTTCTGGAACTTGCTAATGAGACAGGGTACCACCCACCAGCTGAGAAGCCATAGTATCTGGGAAAGAGCCTGTTTACCTGGTAAAGCAAGAACTACCACTTGGCTGTAACACCTTTTTCATTCTTAACCACATAAATTATAAACCTACAGAAATTCCAGGAACTAGAATCTCTAAGAATTCTGCTTGTGTATTCTGTAAGTTACATATCATTTAAGAGAGAAAAAAATCAACTCAGTACACCTGTACATGTGAGGTTCCAGTATGAGGTTACTTTAAGAGTCGTTTATGAGTGGATTCGTTTCTGCTTCTTTTTTGACCTGTAATACTGCAGCATAAGAATGATGGCAGCACAACTTCCACAGGTAACTTCTACATTTATTTTATACCAAAAGAGTTATGTGCAACAAATAAACATTCTTACATATTTACATTTGTTTTTTTTACCAGTTAACAAAACTGTCCTAAATCTCTGATAAAGAATATTCCTATCTAATATTAAAGGGGATATCTGCCCAGTGAACTCCATTTTAAATGAATGTTTACTCTGGAGTTTAAAGCATTAGTAATAAATATTTTTGATGGGACATACTATACAGATCATATACCTCATACTTCGGCCATGCTTAATAGTATTATAAGAAAACATTTCATCTTTTCTGGGCTAATTTGTCAAAAACATGTTTACCCAAGTGGCCTGGGCTCCCACCACACCACACCCCTTTTGTTTTATTGAAGGGTAGTTCTCACAAATGAGGAGTCATAGTGCTGCCTAACATGTCTGAGTAGCGAGAGATTTTTCCAGTGTTTACATATTAGGTGCTCCTTCCCAAATAGGTTACCAAAAAAGGTAGTGGGTTTCTTGTTGGCATCTGTTTAATACTGATTTTCAAGATCTGTCAGCATTCCCTGGTGTCAGGTAGAGATACCAATCTAAGTCATGAAGTAAGTGCTGAAGGTAACCTTGCACTTTTGCTGATAGTCTTAAAAGGAAATATAAGCAAACTAAAGGCAACAAATCATTTTCATTTCACTATAGTCTTGGTCCTCTATCCTACCTCGTTGGTCCAAAGAACTTTGTGCCAAAAGATCTTTGTTGCTTAGAATGCAAATAGTCACTGCTTTCACCTCTTTAAAAGTAACGGATTTCAGGAGAGGCTACATACATCAAGTAAAAGTAATCCCTGGCACACAGCTAGTTAAACCTGAGTCATTTCACCATAAGTTTACCCTTAGTGACAGCACCTAGCTGTAATGAAACACCAAATGAGGTTCTCCAAATCACCTAGCTTCCCTAATGTATCATCTAACCACAACTTCTCTTATTTCTTCAAATGATGTGACTGTCAAGTTAATAAGAGGCTGCATTTACAAATCATTTAAAAAATCAAGAAGCCAAAAACAGGAATTCAGTTTTTTCCCCTAATCTGTTCTTCAATGTCGGTGGCTAGTAATTTTAAAATAGTCATAACAATACTGGAATTTTAAAACATGGTATCTTTCTTCCCCCTCTTCCGGGGTGACATAGAGGGTATAGAGGGAGCCCACACTCTTCCAGGGCACAAGTACCCAATAGCACCCAGCAGGGCCCTGTTGCTTACTGAGACGTCAGCAGGCATTATGAGCTGTAGTGCAGGCAGCACGTGTTTATCGCTCAGTGAGAAAAAGGTGATTAGTTCTGGGACATAGGAATGTGGCCATTTTTTAATACAACTGAACCAGTGGTGTTTCCCCCCCAGGCGTAGGACAACAAAGGAAAAACTTGAAGGGTCTGGCTGAACATTTTTACATTTTCTCTTTGAGTTGAAGACAAATATTTTCAAGAGGGCAATATCAAGACAAGCTTTAACTATACTCTGCTGATTGATACAAAATATGACGGTAAAAAAACCCACCACATTTTAAATTGGGACACGAGGAACTTTAGCACGACCAGTGTTGTATATACCACAGAAGTCTTAACCGTTGAGCCATTGCCACTGTAGCTGGGAAAAGAGAAGCAGTAAAAGGCTCGTAGAGCTGGAAGCACTGTGACGTGACCTCATTGTACAGTTCATTTCAATGTCAGGACTTGTTTCTCCATCCACACGAGGCATCTAATCAATGCTTTCTAGAGTTCTTTAACTACAGAAATAAGAACAATACATACATAATAAAACAGGCATTGAAATATTCACATTCATGGGAAAACATCAGCCTGGATGAAATCTGAATTAAACTCTCTTTTTACAAAACTGGTTTAAATTCAATAGTTCATTACAATTCAGATTTTATACCTGCCTTGGACCAGAAGAATACATTGCATCAATTATGACAGTTAGTTGGAAACAGTTGCTGACTCTACACATACGTTTACAGAGCAGAGCCTGTCCCCTCCTTCAAAAAGGCAAATACAGCACTTAAATTACTGGTCTATTTTTAATATAATGATTAATCAAATTGAAAGCAAAATTATTGCTACTAATTCTCAATCTAAGGACTAAAATGATCATACAGAACCTGTATATTGAATGCAAGTTATCTACTTCATGCTAAGAAAGGAAGGAAGGACACTTCTGCCCAAGTTCAACAGAAAATATTTGGTTTGCGATTTAAGACAGAAGGCACTTTTAACGTTTCGATATGTTAACCTTAGAAGCATACTGTCACAATTTTATTTGGGTTTATTCAAATCACTTTAAAAAATTCTGCCCTTGTATAGTTATTAGAAAGAGTAGTGACAACATTAGTATTTCACCTTCAGGTATTTCTACCTGAAGTACTCTCGATTAAGCAAACTGAGCAGCATATCAGCCCTAAAGTTTACATATCCAATATTTTACTCTAAAACAATTAAGTTAGAAATCCGATTAGTTAGTGCAGAAAGAAACAGGAAACACACAGAGCTACCCAAGAGCAATCCTACTCTGGAGCGACTGGGCTTATACTGATTATTTCAAAGCCATAATACTGTTTGGTTGGCACCAATGTTAAGGAAAAAGATCTAAATAAAATTCAACTGTTGTAAGAGACTTTACCTTAAAATTCCATATATTTCCAGCTTTTCTCCAAAGAAATGTACCCATTTCCCCATCTTTAGTGTCCTGAAGGCCTTGGACTTGATGGTTTGGTCACATGACTCACTCTGTAAGGTAGAACTGATCCAGTTTTATGACTAGACACAAGTTTGACTTGAATGTCCAAGGAGTTTCTTCCTTGAAGAGGAAGGAGATAAAAGGGAACCAACTACCCTATCATTTTTGCTGTCAATCCTGGACCCACAGCTCTCAGTACTTTTCACAAGACTCTGTATGCACTTAACTATTTTCACCTTTTCTTCAGTCAGTGTTGAGCTGACAACTCTTCGTGGTTACACTTCAACTCAACTGTACAGCAAGTTCTGCAGGGATGGATCCAATATTTCTACCTTTATTTACAAATATCACAGAAATGAATTCTAGTTGAATCTACATGTTTAAATCCATTGGCTAAAAACATATTACATATTGTAAACATGGCAATACTTAATACAGTATCTATTCTAAAATATTTTCATGTCATGATCACATTTGTTATACCTGAAATTGAATTTATACACATTGTAGAGTTATTAGCAATGGTTGCTCACTTTACAACGGAGGGCTACATTTAATTATTTCAGAAACATCTTCAAAGTAAAGTTAAAGCTTGTCTTTGATTGGCTCGGCGTATGCTTTTTTTTTGTATCCATATTTAAAATGAAGATTGACACAGAAAATACCCTTCTAATTTACAAGATTTTAAAAAATTCTTAGGGAAAGTGTCTGTTGTGAAGAATAAAAAAAATGCTGCGAAATTAACTTAATGGAAAAAGGGACTTGGGACTGTCAGGTAAGAGTTCATCAGGCTGTCAGTCCTGCTTGGGCTGCAGTTGCCGTTTCCAGGCCTCGTTCAAGTAAACTAGTCGTTTATAGTTGATGATAAGAAGAATGAAGTTCAGCACGTATGTGATGACGCAGATGATGCAAAACTCCTTCAGCACAAAGTACAGAATGTAGGCCAGGTACAAAGACCCTACTACAGACACGATGGAGGATGTCATGAGGATTAAAGCTGCAACTGCACTTGCTGTCATGCCTGCAAGAGAGAGAGAGACCCTTGGCTCAATCAGACCTTGACAATGGAGAGAAAGGTTCTGAGTTAAAAGGTAACCTTTTGTGATTTGCTACTGTTGAAAATATTGATCTTACAGAAAACACTATGAAATTTGAGAACACTACCAGCCTATTTTGTTAAGATCATGCAGGTTGACTGCATAACATGATAGCAGTTTTATAGCTGCAATGTTTTTGACTTGTCAATATTCTAGATCAGCGGTTGCCAACCTTTCGGACCTCACAGACCACCAGCGGACCGCTGGTTGGCGACCACTGTTCTAGATGACATGTTACTATTTCATAAATAAGCCTTAGTTATGGCACACAAAGAAAATATGTAATCTTGCAATCACATTCAATGAAGCTGACCTGTGAAACCACAGTGCCACCTTTCTTAAGGAATAAAGTAACCTTAGGACCACAACCTTTCTTCCTAGCAGGACACATTTCCCCTGGCCTTCTCACTACAGGCTCCTCATATGTGGGAAATAAAATTTGCTTTCCCATGTTTAGACCAAATTTATAAAAAATCCATAATGGGAGATGATTACACCAGCATGCTGAAGAAGGAAAAAAATAAAACATGCAGAAAGGGCTCAACCCGGAGGATAAGGAAACCACATTTGGCCAGTTGACCACATGTGGGTCAAACCAGATCAAGAAAAAAGGCAGTTATATGTGCTAGGCTGGGGCCCTCCTGACAAAACCTTGCCTGAATTCTTGATGCCATCAGACATCTTTACATGTACTATTTTGTAATTTCCTGTATCCAACAGTACTGAGAACATGTGCATTTATTTTTAAAGAAATAGCACAGAATATTAAACTACCCTCTTACCCAACAACTAATGAGTCAGAATAACAGAAACAGAAAAAACAAAAAAAGTGGTGGTAGGTTTGAAGAAGTTAGTTAAGGAGCTAAAATCCATGCTGCCTGTTAAAGAGAAGTGGCCTGTGGAACGCAGCCTAGCCACAGGGGCCTGACTTGCCCATGCCACCAGTTAGTACTAAAATATGACACTTGAAGAAGGCTCTTCAAGCTCTGGCCGGGGTGGTTCAGTTGGTTGAGCATTGTCCTGTGCACTGAAAGGTCGCCGGGTAGATTCCTGGTCAGGGTACATGCCCAGGTTGCAGGCTCAGTCCCCAGTCGGGGTGGGTGCACGAGAAGCAGCCAATCAGTGTTTCTCTAAAATCAATCTATCTTCCTTCCTTCCTTCCTTCCTTCCTTTCCTTCCTTCCTTCCTTTCCTTCCTTTCCTTTCCCTTTCCCTTTCCCTTTCCCTTCCTTCCCTTTCCTTCCCTTCCCTTCCCTTCCCTTCCCTTCCCTTCCCTTTCCTTCCCTTTCCTTCCCTTTCCTTCCCTTTCCTTCCCTTCCTTCCCTTCCTTCCCTTCCTTCTTCCCTTTCCCTTTCCCTTTCCCTTTCCCTTATTTATTTATTTATTATTTGGAGCATTGTCACATATACCAAAAAGGTTGTGAGTTCAATCCCTGGTCAGAGCATGTACGGGAGGCAATAGTTCAATCTTTCTCTCTAAAATCAATAAACAATCCTTGGGTAAGCTTTTTTTTTTTTTTTAAGGGGAAGCTTGCCCTAGCTGGTTTGGCTCAGTGGATAGAGTGTCAGCCTGCAAACTGAAGGGACCCAGTTTGATTCCAGTCAAGGGCACATGCTCGGGTGTTCAGGAAGCAGCCAATCAATGATTCTCTCTCATCATTAATGTTTCGATCTCTCTCTCTACTTTCCTCCCTGAAATCAATAGAAATACATTTTTAAAAAATAAAATAAGGGAAGCTTTCAGGACCAAGATGCTGTTGGATTATTTATGCCAGGGACTAGCAAATCTGACTGGCCACTTGATTTTGTAAATAAAGATTTACTGGAACCCAACTACACTAATTGATTTATGTAATGCCTATTGCTGTTTTCACACTATAGTAGATGAGTTGAGTAGTTGTGACAGTTAGCAAAGCCTCAATTATTTTCTTTTTTAATGTTTTTATTTATTTCAGAGGGAAGAAGGGAGAAGGAGAGAGAGAGAAAAACATCAATGATGAGAGAGAATCATCAATTGGCTGCCTCCTGCACAACCCCTACTGGGGATCAAGCCCGCAATCCAGCCATAGCCCTGAGAATCATATCAGGATCTCCTGGTTCATGGGTCAATGCTCAACCACTGAGCCACATGGGCCAGGCGCCTCAATTATTTTCTTCCAGCTCTATGCTAAAAGAGTTTGGTATCTCATCTATACTAAACATCTAAAACTTCAAAAATTATGCTGCCACTTAATTTTAACCTAAGGAAGTTAGTTTCAAATAACATGGACAAGTTATTTTCTCCATGCCAATCGTTTCCTTACCTGTAAAATTGGGATAATAATCATGACTACATCCTAATATCATTGTGCAGATTAAAAGAGCTAATACGTATAAATACTTAGAATTCGTTATAAAGACTAGCTATTAGTTAAATACTATTGTACCAAACTTGTTCTAATGTAATGTATCGGTGGTTTGGGATAAACTCCCAGTGGAATTAAAATGTGCTGTAGCTCTAGAGGATTGTGCAATCAAGCAATGGAATATTCTGCAGCTGTGAAAAACAATGAAGACTTAATGTTCTGCTATGGAAAGATCACCATGATATGTCAGTCAAGCAAAACAAAAAGTATGTAAAACAGTGTGTATAGCATTTGCCTTTTAAAAAGAAAATTAAGATTATATATCTGTATTTTCTTGTACCATATGGCTAAAGAAATTTTCTAACAACCGCAACAAGAAGCTACTAGTCAGGGATGAGAGGCAGTGGGAAGTGGGCAGAGGGGGAAAGGGTGAGACAGACTTTTCACTGTGTAGAATTTTATACATTTTTTAAAAAAACTTTTGAACCATGTGATTGCCTATGAATAAATTACATTTAAAATGTTGTATCTCAAACAACTTAGAAGTGAAAATGATGTGCTCTGGAAACTGTAGATGAGTTCAAATGTGCCTCCAATGGTAAAGACCCTGACATTTAAAATGCATAAAATGTTGTCCTGGCCGGTGTTGCTAAATGGTTAGAGTGTCGGTCCCGCACCGAAACGTGGCAGGTTTGATTCCTGGTCAAGGGCATTTACCTGTGTTACAGGTTCGTTCCCAGGCCCTGGTTGGGGTGTGTGCGAGAGGCAACAAATCATTGTGTCTTTTACATCGATATGTCTCTCTCCCTCCCTCCCCATCTCTTTCCCTCCTCCCCTTCCACTCTCACTAAAAATCAATGGGAAAAATATCCTTGGGTGAGGATTAAACAAACAAACAAACAAACATAAAATGTGAATAGAAAAAAATACATATAATACATGATTTGAAATATCTATACATAATGATATTAAATATAATAAATAGAAATGTTCCACCTCTATCTCCAAAAACATTTCTTAGGCTATTTTAATTTGGGCTTAGAAATCCAAACAAAACCAATAAATGGAATAAAAAGTGAAAGTCTCACCCCTGACCCTTATGCATTTACATATGTGTGTGTGTGTGTGTGTATAAACATTATACCACAATTTGCTTTTTTCACTAAACTATGCCTTTATCTTTTCACATATAGACCTACTTTCTCTACTTTCTCTTTTAATGGTTACACTGTTTTCTAGTATGGATGTAACTTAATTTATTCAACCATTATGTTTTGCTAAGCTGTTTCCAATTCTTTGCTATTTTAAACTATACTGCAATGAATATTCTTTTTTTTAAAATATATTTTATTGATTTTTTTACAGAGAGGAAGGGAAAGGATAGAGCGTTAGGAGCATCGATGAGAGAGAAACATCAATCGGCTGCCTCCTGCACACCCTCCACTGGGGATGTGCCCGCAACCAAGGTACATGCCCCTGACCGGAATCAAACCTGGGACCCCTGAGTCCGCAGGCTGACGCTCTATCCACTGAGCCAAACCTGTTAGGGCAGCAATGAATATTCTTGTGCATGTTTTTCTATTTCTACAGGATATATAAGTATGGAATTGAAAAACTTACTAGGACATTGAGAAAATTTTAGATTCACAATTTGCCTCATAACAAATCAACTTCAGTTAGAAGAGCACAGAAGAGCTGGCAGATAATAGGATGAAATAATAACAATTGAAATGCAAAGGCAAAAATAAAGGAATTTAACTTTAAAAGTATGAAAACTTTTATACAATCAAAATTCACAAAGCTAAGATAAAAAAGGATAAAGAGCAGGTTAAATATTTGTAACAACTATGAAAATGGGCTATAATCAGGATCCCAATAACTAAATTGAAAATAAAAGAAAGTTAAAATATAGTTAAAATAAAAATAATAGCTACTAATATGTAACTTATATTAGGTATTTTACAGAAAACAGTTTCTTAAAATGAAGGTGATGGAGCTTCTGGGAAACCTACAACTGAGGGAAAAGCAGTTTGTTAATACCTATTAAACTCCATTTAAAAATCTTGTTTTTGACTCATTCATCCCACGTTTGGAAATTTATCCATGGAAATAATTCAAAGAAGGTAGTTAGTGTGTGTGTGTGTGTGTGTGTGTGTGTGTGTGTGTGTGTGTGGCGGGGGTGGGGTG